AAAAAAAAAAAGTAAAGATCTGCAACAAGTAACAGTATATATAATTAATGTTTGAAATACTCAACAAATGTGGCCGGTCCTCAGTATCTACTTTCCCTGCTCAAAATTAACAATTCAAAAAATCTAAAGGAAAAAGCAAACCCAGTTCCTCAATGAAAAATTTTTAAAAGTGAATGTCAGGGGAAAAAAATAACTCAGTGATTTCTACTTTTTGATTAGTGTTAAACTCACCTTCCATGCACTCATTCACAGATTCATAGTCAGCGTAAGTTCTGCCTTCTGGCCTCTTGGTAGGCTGTACCAGCAAAATGGTGTGAGACTGCAGGAGGAAATCAGGATTTCAATATAAGTTTCTAACTGATAGTTGAGGAATTCATAGTATGATACAAAATCCCCATTTGTGACACAATAGTTAGTTATTAAAACATAATTAGGGGTGTCCTTCCTACAATGTTTATCCCTTTGCCCAAGTGTGGAATCTAGCTGGATTCGAGACTCCTCTGTAAAGCCTCCCTTAGCCTTGCAGTCCTTCAAGACTGCGTTCTCAAACTCCTACTGCACTTACTGCTTACCAGTACTCAGCACAAGCTACCTTGTACTATTTTTTTTTTAAATCCTTTCCTACCAAATAGATTATAAACCTGCTTAAGATTTTCTGTCTCCACTGATCACTTTCTATCTCTAGCTCTATTAAGTCCCTAATAAAAACTCAGATGGGGTGATGAAAGGAAAGAAAAAGGGAAACACTATAATCATTGCAAGCACCATATCAACCTATGTTCTTTTTCCAACCTTTGCATAAAAGCAAAGTCACAATTTGTCCAGAAGTTAGACTCTTGGCAATAAGGCATAAATTAGCAACATAAAATTAATATATATAGTTAATATTGCTCTAAAGAGTTCATTAAACTATTCACCTAGTAGATAACTTGCCTTAAAGGGCTATCCCATACCAAAATCACACAAACACTAAAATCACACAAAATGGTTAGATGATCACACCACAAGAAATGTGAATATGCCTGAAAAACAGCAGATACACTTGTCTTCCATCACACGCTCACTGGGGAGATGTTTTCACTAGTAGGTGAAGCTCAGGGTTTCTCAGCCTTAGCATTATTATACTTGGGGCTGGATGATTTTTTGTTATGGAAACTGTCCTGTGCATTGTAGGATGTTTAGCAACAGCCCTGGCTGCTACCCGTGAGATTAACATCCCCTCTCACAAGTTGTGACAATCAAAAATGTCTCTGGACATTGCCGTATATTCCTTGGGGAGCACAATGTCAACTGGCTAAAAATCACGGGCCTATTGAAATTATGCCCCCACCAATTTTTTGCCACATGTATAAGAATGACTAATTAAATGCAAGCATGATACAACTCAATGTAAACCCAATCCCAAATCAAACTATTCACATATTTTTCTTGTCTTCTGCTATGCTAGTATTTTTCAGCCAAAAAACAAAAAACAAAAATCTCATGACAGCACATCATTTGAAATGAGACTTTTTAACCATCAACAAACTGTAACTGAAATAGCCAAAGCCTAGACTTTCTGAATAAACAATGACACTATATGCAAAGCAAAGAGTTACCGTGCTTCTCCCTACCTATCAAGAACTAAGTCATTTCCACTAAACGTTTGAGAGGGTTTGAGATAAAAATAGAACTTGCTGACAACAGATAAAGGTAACTCTCACCTGTGTGTGACCTGAACACAGTCAAAGCCTTTATTAGTGATCAAAAGCCAGAGAAAGCATAATATTAATTTGTTATACAGTTTTTATAAGCCAGCCACTCAAAAAAAGCAGTTTCAATGAGTCATCTGTTGAGAAAAAAATTTTATAGAAACCACACTAGCATTTTTGCAATAGAGCTTGTCTTATATACTAGCAATACCAGTTTCTACCATATTAATTTTATTCTTATTCTAATAAAAAATTTTTTTCTTTTTTTCCCTCCCCTCCCTCCCTCTAATGAAAATTAAAGGACTAATTTATTTGAAAGGGTAACATACAGAAATGGCTACACAGTATGTTGCTTTTTATATCTAATCTTAAAATGAAACTAAGGGCAAAGTTTACTATTTTCAATACTTACTGCTGAAAGACAAGGATTAAAAACACTAAGAACACGACATGACTAAATTTTAAAAACTGCAGTCAAAACAGTTATCATTTTTAAGTGGCAGTGCTTTCCTGTTACCAATTTTTTAACGATCGTAATACCTCCCAAATCAGTTTTGGTCACTTTCCTCTTACTGGAAGACCCTGGTCAGATTGTAAGGGACTCAAACCCTGAGTTGGGCCTATTTTTTCTGGGCCTCCAGCTCCAAAGAATATAAATAAGGGTAAGAACAGGATTGAGAGCTGAGGGAAACACCAAAGAGGCACCTTGCGGGGGGGGTCTTAAAAAAAAGGGGGGAGGAAGGGTACAAAGAGGGGAAAATGGCTGAGCACAGTAAAAGAAAAAGGAATAGCTGCGAAAGCACACTAGAGGCAAATACGGCCCTTCCTGGACCACATGCTAGGTACACTAAGTTCAATCTGTCAGATTCGATACAAGGTTTGTTAGACATCCCTTGGCCATTGTTCCTACAGTAGGCTAGAGCGTTTGGAGGGAAAAAGCACCATCCCCACACCTCCCTCCATCAATCAGCAATCGGGAGAAAGCGCATCCTCAGGCCGACTGCACACCTAGCCCGAGTCAGCAGGCGGGCGCGCAATCGTAGGGCGGACCCGGGCTCCGGGGCCTAGAGTCAGGCCCGGCGTTTCCGCGGCGGGAAGGATTGACCCACGAGCTGGAGGGGCGGGAAGCAGCACGCTCGCGCCGCATGGGGGTGGGAATAGGAAGATATAAGGGGCTAAGGGCGCCCTGGAGGCTGGGAGCTCGGGTAGCCGCTGAGACCCTTTCTCACCATCGCGCCAAATTCTCTTTGCTGCAGCCTTTACCGACACCGCCGCCGCTACACGAGCTTAGCCGCAACGCCGCCAACAGCCAATCCCCGCGAGAGGAGCCGCCGGAAGTCGTCGGAAGCGCGACGCGAAAGGGCTCTTTGGACCATAGAGATGTACCCGCTTCCGGCAGCTAGAGCAGCTGCTGACTCTGTTTCAGCCATCTTGGGTAAGGGCAATAAGCTAGGGTAAGGGACATTTTCGGAGCTTTAGAAAGGATTATTTTTTTCAAGACGCTTTCTTCCGAACCTTCGTTATTGCGTATATGGCTAACGTGACGACTGGTATAGACAGTGACACCAATCATCTTTTATTAGCCCTAGTCAAAAATGGCGGCCGTATAAGTATCCCGGGCCATAGGTCGGTTGTAACCCGGAAGTGCCCTTCTAAAGGCGGGGGCGGTGAGACAATCCGGAAGTGGATGTAATGAGGAGGTGCCACTTGGCGGCCATGGCAGCTGTAGTATCTGCGACTCCGGGTCAAGGCCCGGCGGAGTGGAGTATCATGGGCAGTACGGGGTGTAGGGCAGAGACAGCTTTATATCAGCTTTGTTGCTGAGCCCGTAGGATCCATTGTTAGAGACCTGCAGGACTCCTTTCTCCATCCTAGACTCGGAGGGGAGTTTGCCGGGACTGGTGGGCTGGTCCGTGCTCTGGGGGCGTGGATCACCAGCGGAGCCGTCTCAGGTAGACAGCAGCGCGGAGAGAACTAACAGGTTCGCTTGGGTTTTCTTCCTTTTCCTACTGCCGACTGGGACGTTGTGCCACCCTCATTACGACGGTTGAAGAAATTGCTCATTCGCACATTTTCCCCATTGACTTTTCCCATCTGGGTTAACTCACGAGAATCCAGTGACTGGCATTTGAGAACCCAGGGTCTGGGACCTAAGATTACTGAAAGATTTCTCTGGTGCTAATATCAGCAAAAAGGGGCTGTTTCCAGGTACGTGGAAGAGAAGGTGCCTCGTTAACAAATCTGCTGTGGGGAGAGGCCGAAAGAGCTGGAAAGACCACTTGTTCTCTTGGAACCACCACACGTGTTTGAAGAACCGAAGCACCTTTTGAAGCCACTAGAAATTGGTAATCTGGTGGAGAGGCCAGAATGGATGATTTCATCTCCATCAGTCTGCTGTCTCTGGCTATGTTGGTGGGATGTTACGTGGCTGGAACCATTCCCTTGGCTGTTAACTTCTCAGAGGTAAGAAATGTTCAATTTTCTGTCAGCTGTCAGGATGGCTGCTAGGAAGTAGTGGTAGTTGCAAAGGGAAGCTGTTTCCCTGGTTAAACCCGGAGCTAAAAATCTCATTAAGGAAGACTATCTTTTAAAAAGATACATAACGTTTAATAGGAGAAACAAACTTCACATTCAGCAATAGAATTCTTAACCTGGGGTGGGTGGATATTCCACTGAAGATCCTGGAGTAGTCTGAAACCCCTGAAATTGCATACCAAAATTTGGGTCTCTGTGAATTTTCCTGGAGAGAGGCACCATAATATTTCTTTTGATTCACAGAAGTTTCAAGGAATCAAGGTTCTAGATTGATATCAAGAAAATAAATGGAGAATGTTATTTGTCCATATGAGTTGAAATCAATATAATTTCTCTTTGAGAAAATGAAGCATATCTTTTTGACAAAAGCTAAGGGTTTTTTTTGTTTGTTTTTTTGTGCTTTTTTTTTGGATGCCTGCACT